AGATCTATGGGTACTACTTTAAGGGGAAAAAAGGAATATGCCGTACAACTGTGAGGAAGGCAGGCAAAGATCTGTTGCGGCCTTCAAAGGTTCTAAAATTCGGCTCTCTCCACAAGTTCCATAAACGGCTGCAACAGAGATCCTCCACAGCTTAACCCCAAAGGCAGAGAAAGGAAGGGTCCATATTTGTTGCAGCAAAGCATGGGTCTCCATATATCTTGGGCCAATCCAATTGGCACTAGCCATCAGCCAGTCCCACAAGACTAAACAAAAGGGCAATGGATGAAAAGATGATCAATTGATTCCTGATCCTTTTTACATAGCAAACAAATATTGGTGAGGATCATTCCCATTCTTCTCAGTCGATCAATGGTGAGAAGTCTTTTCAAGCCAAACAACCATAAAAAGGTTTACACTCTGTGGGGAACTTTACAATTCCAAAACTTAGCCACTGAAAGCCTGTTTTCGTTATAACGATCCCCATTGATCGTCTGGTAGCGAGATTTAAACAAAAAAACACCACCCACTTCCAAGGACCAGATGATCCTATCCGGCTTCCTAAGGTAAAAGAAAAAGGCATAAAGCGACACAAGTAAGATCTGAAATTGATCAGCAACAATGTCATTAACCCCCCGAGTATTGATCTTGACATTCCAAACCAGCTGCTCCCCATTGAAGGAAATCATATTGGCAAGCACCTCTTGTTTCTGCATTGATCTGCTATAGAGATCAGGATATAGAAGCTTCAGTGGATACTTGCCCAGCCATTTGGCATGTTAGAAACATCTATAGGGTCCATCACCGACTAAAATCCTTGAGTAGGCCAAAAATAATGGCCTGACTCCTTGAATCCCCCTCCACACAGGCAATAGATTGGCCAGTCTTATGTAGCGTTTTGCAATAAAGCCATCAGGGTCCCTTCCATACTTACCCAAGATAACCCTTGCCCAAAGTTGATCCCTGTTATTGAATAGCTCCACCACCATTTGATAAGCAATGATTCATTCACTGCCTTTAGCCTCTAGAAGCCTAGACATCCTTCCTTTTTTGGGAGACAAACCGAAGCCCAACTTACCAAATGGAATTTCTTGTTCGATTGCGATCCGCTCCAAAGTAAACTTTACATACGAGATTCAACCTTGTGAATGACATAAGCAGGAGCTTGAAAAAGAGAGAGATAATAAATGGGGAGGTTAGAAAGATTGGCTTTAATGAGAATAGATCTACCCACAAAATATAAGAATCTTGCTTTCCACCCATCTAATTTGAATAGAACTCTTTGAATGAGCGGATCCTACAAAGATCTGAGGTATCTCCCATTGACAAGTGGCAGGCCCATGTGCGTCGGGTGCCTTAACTCATGCCTCTCTCGCTCTACTCTCTTTCTGCATATTGTGTTCTAAAGATAACTTTATATAT